TTGTAAGGAGGGAAACAATTCCTCTCCGGCCGCCGGCTGCTTCTCCAAGCCAGCCAGGCAGGGAGGAATCGGGAGAGACCTCACCCGCGGCCGCTCCGACACACCCGCCGGGGTTCTATGGGGAAAAATCGTAAAGCGATTTTTCCCCATAGGAAACATCGCAATGCGATCGCTTTTGCGATCGCAAAAAACGAATCGCTATGCAGATTCGTCGTTAAACAGGGCGCTCGCTATGCGAGGCACCACTGTATAGTGTTTTATAACTTTTTTGGGGAAACTTATAGTCTTCAATATCTCTGTTTTCAGTTGCCACAATCCTGTTATTTATGTCTGCTGACAAAAGTCTAGTAGTGTAAATTTCAGCAGCACGTTATCGCTAGTTCAGAAGCTGGAGCTTATATTTCTTGTGAAACTTGGTGTGTGGCAAGAAATAAAAGCTTCAACGGTAGCAATTTGCTACAGAAATTCGCAAGCCCCGACGATCAGCTGTTCGGCGGACAAAATGGCTGCCGGAAGCTCCGTAATGGCCGCGCGCAGCGTTTTCGCGCCCTCCCCTCACTTAACGAGGGCGCGAAAATGGCTGCCGGCCATAGGAAACCTCGCTGAACGGTGAGTAAAGGAGCTTTTTGGAACGCATTAAACGATGTTTAATGCGTTCCAATGGCTTTCCCTGTCCCGTTCAGCGATGTTTCGCTATAATGTGAGCTTTTCTATTTTTCCTGGATTTTTGCATGATATTCTAGCACAGACTAATATGGCTACCTCTTCTGAAAGTTTTCTATGTAGGTGGTTTGGCTGACCACTCTTATGAATCTAACCTCCATTATACAGAGTGTGTGGGTTCCTTGATTATGTTTATGTGTATCCAAGGAGACTTTTTGCATGTTTTGAAAACCATGGGATGGTGAAGTCAAAATATGCCTCATATTTCACGTTGACTGTGTCTGCTTATTGCTGAACGTATGATGACAATTTTTCTATTCTTTTGACCATGAACATTTTTAGTAAAAATGTATTTTTAATGGAAACAAAGGAAAGAAAGCGAGAGAAGGAAATTGGCAGTACCTGAATGGGAAAACTTTGAAGGGGCTTCAGACAGGATGTATGTGTGTATCAAGGGGTATGAACTTACTCCTTTTCTGTTTTCCCAAAATACCAGCAGCAGGTCAAACAGGTTCTCAGTGAGATGACTGACAAGACTGAACTGGCAAACAACAAAGGCAAACTTCAGGTACTTAAACTTTGCAAAGGCAGACCGCTCTTTGAGTTGCCTGTCCCTTTTCTTTTGTACTTCCTCTCTCATTTCCGCTGTTTAGCCTAAGTCTTATTGTTTTGCTTGGTTTTTGCTTTTGTTTTTGTCTGAGACAGGTAATGAAGAGGTAACCAGACCCTTTCCCCCTCCAGCCCATCAGGGCTTAGAGACGAAACTGGGCTGGCAGGTGGCAGAATACCATGGGGCTCGTCTTTGGACCAGCCATTCTGTCCATCTTGTCCCTCTGAGCTTGCTTAACATGGTTGCAGTGTTTCTTTCTTTTTTTCCCCCCAGAGTTATATTGAAAAAGACAAGGTTGCTTCATGATGCTCAGTGTCCTTTGAGACTATTTTAAAAGCCAAATTTTTTGACAGAAAAGCCCTTCAAATGTTGCAGTATAACTCGCTTTCCTACAGGTTTATTCTGTGGTACTGCTGTAAGGCCTACAACAGTATAGGGGGGTAGGGGGGAATGTAAAGTTCTTCCTCCAAAATGACATCTCCAAAGCCCAGCCCAATGATGATTTCATATGAACTTGTGCAATGCCCCTTCTCCAATGCAGTTGCTGGCCCCGGACATTGCTGTGGCACCAGGTAAAGTGGTTGTCATGGCATAGCTGTAGATTTTGAAGTACAGGAGGACCCCCGTATCCATGGGATCAGTATCTTTTGTTTCATTTATCCAGTCTGAAAATATTAAAAGAAAAAAGAATTCAAAAGAACTATTTTTACATGCTTTACCAGAACCAGCCACTAAAGGGGACTAGAGACTGTGTTATGAATACTTGGTAGTGAAGAATGCATAGCATGGTCTCTCATGCTCACTAGTGACCAGGTATGGTAATACATGTGTGGCGATCGCCCATGTCACTCATGCTATTCATATCCATGGGCTGATTTGCATGAACCTACGAGAGGGCTGGAGGGGGGGAGTCATCAGCTACATGAGGCTTGGCAGGAGGAGGGGTCAGAATGGGATTTATTTATTTATTTATTTGATTTGATTTGATTTGATTTGATTTGATTTGATTTGATTTGATTTGATTTGATTTGATTTGATTTGATTTGATTTGATTTGATTTGATTTGATTTGATTTGCTCCAGCGCCCCCCTACCGCCCCCCTTCTGCTCCAGCGCCCCCACGCCGCCCCTTTTCGTTCTACTGCACCCCTGAAAAATGAAATCGCCCCCTGGGGGGCATTATCATCCACGTTAAGAACCACTGTTCTAACAGACACTTTAAAATAATGTGGGGCATATTATGATAGAAATCTACTCAAACCCAACCCTGCTAAGATTCTGGTGTGTGCCTTTCATCTGAGAAATGAGCAGACACCTCTGAGACTTCAGGTTACCTGGAAGGACATCCAGCTAGGTCAGTGCTTCCTAGCCTTGGGTAAAGCAGGTGTTTTTGAACTGCAATTCCCAGAAGCCCTTCACCACTAGCTGTACTGTCTGGGGTTTCTGGGAGTTGCTGTTCAAGAACATCTGGGTTACCTAAGGCTGTGAACCATTGAACTTGGATGTTGTTTTGCCCCCAAATATGTAGGTGTTACTTTGGCTTGTAAGCTGACCTATAAGAAACACTGCCATAATGCAAAGCAAAAGGTGCTACATCTACCTGCAGGAAAAAGATTCTTCTAAAGCTATCAGGATCCAGTTGGGGCATAAAAGTTGTTTCTTGGGTTGCTGGCATTCAGTAGAGAAAATGTTTGATAGAATAAAAGGACATGCACTAACATATACAAAAGTAACTGCAAGTCAATAAAAAGTTGATTATTTCATCAGTGCAAGAGTTGTATGTTGACATGGGCCCTTTACATGTGGCCATACTGCTTAGATTTTGCATAACAGATGGAGTTTTAACATCTCACATATTGGTGTGCTATTTTGTAATTTTGTATTTGTAATTTTGTCTGCCAGGGCTTGCAGGGTCGAAGTCCCGGGATTTTCCATCTAGCAGGGACTAGGACATCATCCACCACCACTGGAGGCTTCCCTGTTCGGTTTAGGCTTAGCTACAATCCTTAAAGTAAGTGGCAAAGAAATTGGTTTTCCCAGGGACAATATATGGTTCTAATGCATAATATTTGAGTGCAGATTGAGTGACCAGTTAAGAGACAGTAGCTTTACAAAAGACCTTCTCTTTTGTTGTGATGGACCCATCAAGCATTTTGCATTTTTGGATTCTTATGGCTGTCTGTCTTTGAGGGGTGTCATGTCCAAATTTACTAGTGTTAGACATGACAGCTCTCCATACTCAAAGTTTTATAGATGGGAAGGAAACATTCAAACATGCAGTTCTGAAATGTCATTCCAAAGTTTCTTTTCTCTGATAGGAACTGTGCTGTACTCTAACCTAAAAGCACCTCTGAGCATTTGTGGGACCTCTTCTAAAATGTGCAAAGAAAAAAAAAACATTGGCCAGAGTCTTACTGGCGCTTCTGCAACACTTGCAGACCGTGCTGTGGCTAATTGCGGCTAATTGATGAGATGGTGTGGTATGTCTCAGTTGGGTGCCTCGCCACATGCCCAACTGCACAAGTAGCATTTAATCAATAAGCTGCAATTAGCCATGGCAAGTGATACAAATTTTATGTGAATGCCGATAGGATTCTAGCCACTTTGCATTATTGGAATGGGGATTTATGAGCCAGGCTGCTCTTTTTCTCCACAACAATCCCTTACATGTATGAGATGATGTCTCCTCCCATTAGGAAACCTTTCTGTGAACCAGGTAAGCTATACAGTGGGGTCTCTACTTAAGAACTTAATCTGTATTGGAAGGTGGTTCTCAAGTTGAAAAGTTCTTATGTTGAATCTGCATTTCCCATAGGAATGCATTGAAAACCATTTAATCCGTATCTGCTCTTTTCCGTCCATAGAAACTACAGTGGAACCTCTACTTAAGAACTTAATCGGTTTTGGAATGGTGTTCTTAAGTTGAAACGTTCTTAAGTTGAAGCAAAATTTCCCATAGGAATGGACTGAAAACCAATTAATCCGTTCTGGCTGTTTTTTTGTTATGTAGAGGTGCGTTCGTACATTGAAGCATTAGTTCCCATAGGAACTAATGCAAAGCTGGTTAATACGTACTCTACCACTAGGGGGAGAATTTTTTTTAACCTAAGATGACCTAAGGTTAAAAAAAGAGCAGGAAAGGTTTTTTTTTCCTGTTCTTATCTTGGATTTCTGTTCTCAAGTAGAAGCAAAATTTAGCAAATGGAGCTGTTCTTAAGTTGGATTGTTCTTAAGTAGGGACGTTCTTAAGTAGAGACCCCACTGTAGAATGCATTTTTAATAGCTCTGCTGATAGGAGACAACGGTGTTTAGGAGACCTAGAAGAGGTGGCATTGGCAAGGCATGGGAGAGGTGAAGCCTGCATATCTCATGCGAGGCATTTGCTTTTACGCTGAGAATTTTATAAACATATGGAGAGCACACTATTATCCCACTCAGGGGCAACTGACATTTTCATGGATACTTGATGAAAATTCTCCCTTGGGAATCAAGCTGCTAGTGACAGTTCCCTACAGCTGCGCAGTCCCAGCTGCTGCAGAGTTTACGCTGCTCGGAGTTAAACTGAGCTGCTTAGTTAATAAACACATCAGACTCGAAGGCCATGCTTCTTAGCTTTGCTTCACCTGCCCTGGACAGGCTATGAACTGTTTGATCCATCTGTGACAAAGACAGAGCTTCTGCAAATTGCAGGACGATAGGGAAAACAGAAAGTGCTCTGAAGGCTGCGCCTCCCAGCTGGGCGGCGCTGCCTTCAGAGCAACCTCCAGGGAAGCGTCCACCGCTGGCGCTCAGAGGCAAGCACCGCCCAGCTGGGGGGAAATGGTGCCTATGGGGAAAAATTGCAAAGCGATTTTTCCCCATAGGGGCCATCGGTATGCGATCGCTTTTGCGATCGCAAAATCTGCATCGGTATGCGGATTCGTCGTTAAACGGTGCACTCGTTATACGAGGCACCACTGTATTGCACCTAGTGCTGTATGGAGGGAGACAGAGGTAGCAGCTAATAGTGAAAGACTCAAAGCATCTACATCAAATGTGCCTCTACCCCTTGGCTACCACCCTGCCCCTATCCCATCAAAACGAGGAAGTTGTTTTCAAAATCTGTGAATCGTGAAGCAACAGGAGAGATTAGCAGGATTATAAAGTGGAAGGAAAGAACTGCCCACCTCTTAAAATGGGTAGAACCTCAGGGAAGTCTGGACTCAGGGAGAGCTGGGTTACTTGGCATTCATTGAACAGGCTGCAGAAAGAAGATGGCAGAACCAAAATGAACCTTAGAAAATAGGATTTTATCTCCGACCCAATGCAACGATGAACAGGCAGCTTCACACAGTGTCAGCATAGTCTGTGCCCCTCAACATGATGTTATTGATGTTGTCTGTTATTGGGCAAAAATTTTCTGATATATTTATTAATTGTAGGATGGCGCTTCGGATACAATGAAAGAAATACCTCACTCGATTTTCCTTCAGGAACTCTCTTTGGTACATCCATCTGGTTGTTTGTTCAGGGCTAGAAAAAAGGAAATCTATTTTTGTTTTAATGGTAAATTCTGCTCTGGATAAAGCAAGGGAGTAGCTTTGCAGTTGTCACAAAGCCCAGCCAGCAAACAGGCTAGCTGACTTCTGTGAAGGCTGCGTAAAACTCATTTGGGCAATTCCAGGTGGATTGAGAGGGATCTATACAGGGGCAAGATCAGATCGCTCTGAATTGGGCTGAAGTCCGGCAGTCCTCCAGAGTTGCCCCACCCCGGGGCCAAATGTATATTCAGTGATCAGCAGGATATTTTCAAAAAACCAGATGGTATGTCTGTAAAATGTGGCAAAACAAAACTCTATAAAGAAGATGCTAACCTAGAAGAGGAAGCTTTAAAAAAAAATCTTGTGACCATTTTATGTTTACTGTACTTGTCCCTTTTCCTCCCTTATCCTACCAGTACCCAAACTATAACACTCTCTTCCTCCTGCTCCAGTTTGCTCTATTTTTAAAGGTTTGGTTTGAGTTTCTTTTGAGAAGATTAAATACAAGTTAGCTATAATCATCATCACCATAATCCCTGGACCTATTTAAAATGTGGGAGGGTTGATTCCTTGTGAGGGGGTGACCATGTCACCAAATTTTGTGGGAGTATATGAGAAAAGCCGCCTAGAGTGGTCGTATTGACCAGATAGGCGGGGTACAAATAGAATAAATAAATAAATAAATAAAAGAAAAGTCAGTACAAGTCAATGAGAAATAGAAAGAGTCAGGTTTCCAAGTAGAGAATTAGATCTGGTTCCAAATGGAGATTTGAATCTGCCCGAACAGAGTCAACAGAGCAGCTTCAAACTGGATCTGACTTTCTTTGCATGGACCTAACTTTTCCTGGAACGCTTCTCCAGGAAAGACTTCTCCCTTCACACTCCAAGGACACCACTGTAGACCCATAGCAGGCTCGCTGTATGTGCTTTGTTGGGATCAGGAGTGGGCAGGAAATGACACACAGGCTGCATGCGGCCCCCTCTAGGGCACCTTTGCACACCCCAACTCCCCGCAATGCTTTCCAAGGCAAAAAAAAATTAAAATAAATTGCAATTTGGTGCTGCTACTGATCTGGTGATCATATTTTTTTTACCTAGGGTAGGTTGAGAGTTGGGAAAGCAAGTCCTCCAAAAATTCAAAATAAAAATGAGAAATAGTTGACCAGGCCATTCCTGGTCACACAAACACACACATCACTCCATTTTTTACACTTTCAGGCCCGGTACGGCCTAAGGCAGGTTTTTGGTCTTGAAGTCCTCCAGAGTTGCCCCACCCTGGGGCCAAATGTATATTTACTTTCCAGTTTTAGAAATGATTGTGATATAAGGAGGACTGGGAGATGGCACTGGTGATGGTGTCTTCTAAATACATTAAATTCTGCAGAACAAAAACTCCGATTCTAACCTCAGGATACACTATGCATACACTGTAATATTACAAATGTTTACCAAAAACATAGCTGTATCTTTTTCTTAAAGTTTACCTATAATATTTCATCAGGTTTGGAAGGGAATAGGTCTAGCAGTTTTGACCACCGTCTGCCTCTTTGTCAGGATTTGCCTGTCCTTTTTACGATTATTCTGCATAACTATGCGGAATGGCTTTGAAATTAATGATACAGTTTTTGAAAACTAAATCCTGTGCCAGTATCCAGATCCATGTGATGTTACTGCCAGTGTCAACTATTAAAAGCTCTAGAAGGAAATGGGTTCTGGACACTGACTCTAGTTACTTGGTCCTAGGTCATTATTTTTGCATGTTTCAGGTAAATGCAGAACTTGGCTCGACCAGAATTAACATGCAGAGGATGGAGGCACAGCTAAGACAGGTATTGTAACCATGAGATTGCCTTTCTGTTCCTTTAGAGCTTTCGTGCTTGGTACCAGAATGGGCCCAGGGAAAGGACTGCATTTGTCATTTTTGCATGTATCGGAATGAAGATGTGGTGCCAGACTGAATTACTGTACAGTATTTTTCTGTGTATAAGATGCCCCCATGTATAAGACACTCCCCATTTTTCTAACTCAAAATTAAGAAATCAATATTTTAAACATAAAACAGAATACATTTTTATTTAGTAATTAGGTAACATTTACATACCAGTACTGTCATATTATTCATCACACTTAGCTTTGAGCATATCACTTTATTCAGCCTCTGGGCTCAGAACATTACCTTGGACATTACCAGTTCCTGTTGCATCTGAGCACTGCCTACATGCTCCACCTCCAACAAGGTGTGCTCCGATTGGTTTGTTCAGCATCCGCTGACGTCAGTTACATAAGGCTTTTGACTGGAGGAAGCTAAGTTTCATAACTGTAGGAAGCAAAGCCTCCTGATTGAAGGAAGCCTGTTTGCAGAGGCAAGGCACGGCTGTTTTGTCCTCTCCGTGTTCTCACTTACTTCCGTGTAAAAGATGCCCCTCAATCTTTAGTCAAAAATTTTAGATGAAAGTATCATCTTATAGATAGAAAAATACGGTATGTCTTTCTAGAAGTCTCTGCTGATAACATACAGGCAGGAATTTTATCTTTTTTCTCATTTTTAAGTGGATATATTTCCCACCAGCTTTGAACATGCCTTCCAGATGTGTATTCTGTCTCTCTTAGTGCTTTCTCCCAAGAAATGGAAATGTTCTGGGAGGTGAATGATACACTTTGGGTGGGTTAATAACAAGTGAGGACATCTGGGGGGGGGGAGTTACGAGAAAATGTGTGTGATTGTGTGAGAGAGACGTCATTTCTTTTGCTCATCTTCTTTGCTGTATTCTGCCCCTGAGCCCCAAGACTCTTTACTCCCGACCCTGCAAAGTTCTAATGTACAAAAGGGAGTTAAGCTCTTCTCCCCTAATTTTGGCTTTCAAAGCAAACATGGAAGCTTCTGGTAGGCTGAGCTCACCTCATCCCCTAAGCAGAAGAGACAGACTACAGTATCTTTGGTATCTCCCTGAGCACAAGGCACCCTCCTCTGCTTGAGGGCTTGTAGGGTCAAGGTGGGGGGGGGAGGTTAATTTTGTTTTCTTCCACTTCTGCCATGAAGCCACTGTAACATTTGTTCTACCTGGACAAGCAAGCAGGTAACTCTTGTTCTTAGGTATGTTTGTAACACACTCTTCAGAGTGACTTGCAGTTGAGAAAGTGACCCACACTCAGGCCATCACAGGTTTAGCACCTATTTGCTGTTCAGGATGAAGGAAGTACACATATTGAAGGCAACGTGCTTGAACTCTGTCAGGTTACAGAGGTCAAGTTGCCGTTTTTGCACCGAGAGATAGAAAGGCTTAGGTTTGCTCATTATCTGTGTCTTCTATATTTAAATATTCATTCTTTTTCTATATATTTGCATGCACACATGCACAGAAGAAGATCATAGGAAAATCACTCTACAGGAAAACGTAACCGTGCTTGAGTGCCTCCAGTGCTGGAGGCATCCAAGAGAAAATTGAACAACCATCTGTTTTGATTTGGATTCCTGCGTTGAGCAGGGAATTGGGCTTGATAGACTTATAGGCCCCTTCCAACTCAATTATTCTATGATTCAATTAAAATACAAATGACCTTCAAATGCTCCCTCTGTAGCATGGTTCTGCTGCAGAGGGAGCAGATTGTGGGGCAGGCCAATATTATGCTTTTCAGGTTTCTTACGTGGAAATTGCCGAGACACGATCAGAGAAGGAGCAAATGTTTGAATACCAGTGATCTGTTGCCCGCTGTTTAGATTACATGGTGACTGGAGGGGAGGGGCCTCATGACATCACAAACGGAGCACAGCCATGCCTCAGCGTTACCATGATCTCCAGGAGAACTATGTTGATTCATCCTGCAATAAAAAGGGGCTGTTGAATATTTAATCTTTCGACAGCCCTCTTGGGAATGGAGGGCAAATTCTGTCTGAAATGGCGTCTTTTGTACCCCTCCAGTGATACAACAACTTTGTAAATTAACACATAGGTGGGGATGTTAACCAGCCATGGCAAATGGAGCCCTTCTCATCTTGCCGGTGGCTGTCCAGGTCTTTCTCCTTCTTAAGCACCGAGCCCTGTAACAAAAATGCCTCTTCAAAAAACGAAGGCCTCCGAACGTGGCTGGCAGGAGAAGCCCAGCAGTGGCTTAAGATCGTGCCTGGCCTGTGGCCGAAAGGGCGGCATGGGAGTTGGCGAAGGCGCTTCTTCCGCTCTCTATTCCCCGACACGCAGAGTTCGTTTTGTGGTCGATCTGCCCGCAAGGGAGTCTGCCTCCGACTGTGGCGATAGTCGCAAGGCCTCTCCGATGGCCCTCTTCAGGGCTATTCAGGCCATTGAGGAAACGCTGGAGAGTAAAAGGGACATGATTGGCCCCAAACGGGTAGAAACAGCGTGGGATGTAGCTGGTGAGGGAACTGACCGCCAGAGGGTGAGTCCAAAACCAAAACCTTAAAAAGACTGGCAATGGAGAGGAACACATGAAATGGAAAGAAGCCTGTTATCTGAATTGCCATGTCAAAGGAGAGAGTGGTGGAAGGAGGGTGAAAAAACAAAGATAAAAATGACAAGAAAAGCCCAAAATGCTTCTTTGAAATCAAATTCAGTTGTTGTACAGTCTTTCCCCCTACCCACACACTGTTTAATGGTTTTTTTTCCCCAAGATCCTTTTCAGGAATTCATCATCAGCACCATATGCTGTCAAGTCAATCGTGACCCTTTTCAGGGTTTTCTAATTCAAGAGTACTCAGAAGTGGCTGACCATTCCCTTCTCCTGGGGGTGCCCTGGGACTCTGCAGCTGGCCCAAGGCCACCCAGGTTGGCTCTTCTCCCAGGAGGGGAATCGAACTCCCAACCTCTGGCTCTGCAGCTAGATATCTGAACCACCCTCCCATTTCCTATCTCAAAATGTGTTTGATTACTGACTTCATTTTACTTTTTTAATGTTGGAATCTCATCCCCGTCAGAGCAATTTTGGTGCATTTTGTTCATGTCTTCTATTTCCTACGCTCTTTCCATTTTCTGCAGTGATTGGACAGAAATTGTTCTTTATCCTAATGGGTCAAAAAATAATAATGATTTCATGTCAGCCAACTTTCAGAGAGTGGCCTAGTAAAATGTTTTAGCGGCCTAGTCCTTTCATCTGACTCATAGCTTCCTGGAGGACATTTTCTCTGTACTTGCGACATTCTGAGAGAAAATAACTGTCCTGTCTTCTTCTGTCATGAAAGGCACAGTCCGTTCTTGCCCACACAGAGGAAGAATTTTCTGCAACAGTCAAAACCCAGGATGAAGCCGTAAGAGAGAACCAGAAGCTGAAAGGGCAAATAAGTGCCACTGAGGAGAGGGAAAAGCACAAGGTAAAACTTAATTGGTTTTTTTGGGGGGGGGCTTTTTTATTTTATAAAATAAAAATAAAATATTTTAGGCATTGGTCCTGATAGAAAGGGAGACTGATTGGGAGCCCCAAAGGTTTGATGTGTAATCCAATAAAATACGTTAAAAAATTACAGGTATTAAACCAGAGAGAAGGAGGAGCGTACTGACTGTTCTTGGGTTTTATCTCTAAAGACTTTGTCAACAGAATATGAATCCCTGGCATTGCCAGGTAGGGCCTGAAACTAAGAGAGTCTCCACAGGTAATCCAGTGATCTATTCCAGTAGAAGGCAAGTTCGTGTGCAGTTAATATGAACTCACCTGGGAGCTTTGTTTACATCAAAATGTGCAACGCCAGGAAGAATTGTAGCAACCCATCTTACAAAACAGGATCACCAAGAAAGTTTGTGTGAGGTGCTTTATAACCCTAAGAAAAGCATTACAGAAATGATGACGGTTGCTATGAATATTCAGAGCTAAAGGGGACCGGGAGAGCTGATCTCAGAACCTGGAAGAAAGATGTTGTTTGTTTGAACACATGAAGTTGTTTTTGCCAAGTCAGGCTATTGGTCCATCGACCTTCAGCTACTCTACCCAGCTGCAGCCGTCCCCCAGTGTTTCAGAGGCAGAGACCTTGGCTAGGGCAACAGTCTGTGTTCCTCCAAGTGGAGACAGGAGGACTGAACTAACAACATTCGAAAGTTTTTAAAAAAATCTGTGGTCCACCATTGAGCTGTGGCCCAAGGCTGGTCATGGTCAAGGCTGGTCATGGTTGTGGCTTCAATGAAGAGTCATTTGTGTTCTTCATGGGTTTTCCCCCTTGTTTGGGCCACTAGGTGGGAAATCTACGACGCAAGCTGGAGGCGTCCAAGGAGGATAACATCAAAATGACAACCATGCTGGAGAACCTGTTGGCTTCTCATAACAAAATGCAGATGGCTTTGGAGAAGCTGCAGACAGAACTGGGGCACAAAGACTCTGAGATTGCCAGCCTCAAGATGGAGAGGTAACTGGACTTGCATGCTTCACTTTAGTAGGGCATTCCAGTGGAGCCAAGTTGGGTCATTTTCACTGGCAACTCTTTCATATTAAGCAAGTGAATTATGGAGGGTAGGATCAAGATACAGGTGTGGGCAATGGGGCTGGTGGAAGCAGAGCCCATTTCCTCCCCATGGCAGCCTCTTTCCTCCCCCTGCAAATGCTACATAGCAGCTCAGCATCCATATGGTCCCACAGTACCACCCAGAAGGCATCACGTCTCCCTGGTTTTGGAAGCAGAATTGGGCCTGGTTAGTATTTAGAAAATATTGAGGATCTCCAAATAGGGCTAGGAAAGAATCTTTCTTGAAATCCAGGAGAACTGTTGTCATTCCTCCTAATTTTGATGGTTGACATAAAATCTGAAGTACCTGATTTGTAGTACGTACATTGATCAGGTCATGTGAACGCTTGTGTGGTTTGATGTATTTTTCTGAAAATTGTCGAACCACACTGGCAACTCTCAGTTTGATCCTATTTGCCTCCAGAGTGGAGTGGAATTACTTTCATTCTCTTTGAGGCTCTTGTTCGGATGGCCAGAGCAGGGAGGGCATTTTCCAGGGCTCTTTTGTTGTCACTCTGCTTCCTTGTGCAGGATCCAAAGCCAGCAAAGTATTGAGAAATTTGAGGCAGAGCTGGAGCAGTGCCGGAACAAACTTTTCTTGGAATCGCAGCAGGGCATGAAGGTAAAAAAAAAACCCCACCTTCCAGTAAGCGTAGGGGAACCAAATGACCTGTATATGTGGCTGCTTGGTAATTTATTTATTTTCTTAGCTAACAGGAGTACAGTTCTCTGCTTTTGAGATGGCCAGGATCTAGTTGGTGTTTCTAGCAGCACTCCTAATAGAGGAGTGCTCTCCTATTCCCCCAACAGCCCTTGAACCATCCTAAACCCAGTCCTGGAGGACTGGATTTCAGGTGCTCCAGACAGCTTTGGGGAGAGCAGAAGGGAGGACATTTGGGTTGCCCAAACAGATGCCGGATGGAGGCCAGTGCCATTCATTTGAGGTGTAACAGATGCTTGACCTCGACTCTCCTTGAATGTTCAGATGCGTTCCCATTTCCAATGGGAGGTTCATTGTGGCAGCAGGTTAAGCTTTTTTATTATTGAAACATAAATTCAGTTGTTTAAATAAAATGGTTGTATTTTTTTTTATCACAATTCTACCCCCACGTGCTTTCCCTCTAATAAAAGTCGGGTCCACTCCTTAAAGCACTGGAAGCCGTTAAAGCTGAAAAGAAGAAACTTACTCAAAGTTTAGAGCAAGCGTTGCAGACCAATAGTGCCCTTCAAAGCAAACTCGTGCTTGTTCAGGATGAGTTGGAGAGCAAAGAAGCAGAGTACCAGCAACTGATGGCGTGCAGGTAAGAGCACGGCCCACTCCCCGGAAGTTCTTCCTTTCTGAGTGTGGGTAGCAGAAATTGGGGTGCTTTTGTATGTGCCGAACCAAATGTTTGGCAAGGCAGATTCTGACGTTTTTTAGGGGAAACTTCAGGTCCCACGTTCAGGAACCTGTTGCTGAGCTGCAACAAGAAATACGTTGCCATACATAGCCAAAACAAAACACTAGCTGAAATCCTCTTGCATGGCATAAGCCCAATTTTATTGTTTGTTTGTTTAAGGGACCAGCTGATTGAGGAAAGCAAGATGGAAGCTAAGGTATATGGAGACCGCCTCGAGACACTGAAGAAACAGTTTCAGACCGAGCGGGAAGTCACCAAGAAAGCAGCCCAGAAGGAATCAGCCGAGGTGAGGAAAGGGAGGCCGACAAGCCCTGGAGCCTCTCACACAGTAATGAAAGTTAGAAGTGCCACTGCCACAACTTGCTGCCCCCTGTGGTCCCTATTGCACACAAGCCACATTGAGGTGCGTCGTTCGAAATGCCTTGCAGTGCTGAAGCTGCAGAGCGAGAGCAAGAGAAATTAAGAAAATATTCCTCAAATGGAATGAGAAATGGCAGGAGTTGTATGTGGGAACTTTTGCACACAAAACATGTACTTCACTACTAAGCATTATAGGGGGCCTCTCTCGCTCTCGCTGTTTTTTTTCTGGGTAAAAAGAATTTGTCTGGCGTTGAAAGAGGAACAACTTGTACCCAAAGCCAGAACAATTCCTCCAGACAAATGACCTTCAGCACAGGGTGGATTTGATTTAAATCAAATTGTTTTAAATCACAATTTAATTTTTTTAAAATCAGATTTATTTTGATGATTTAAATAAAACAAAAATGATTGATTCGTTGTTTTTTTATCCACCCTGCTTCAGAGTCAGAGTTAAAGTCTGGACAGCGGTTTCAGGGATGGGAAAAGAACAATCGTTCAGCACTTGTCCTCTGCCCACTTTGTTTCTTGAACGCGCTAACCTTTCTTTGGTACCCTGTAGCTGAAGAAAGCCCTCGAAGAAGCCTGCTCTAAATTTGGGGAAATGTCACGTTGCAACAGGGAACTGCGGGCAAAAGTGGGGGGGCTGGAGATGGCCCTGGCGAGCCAGAAGGAGAAGGTGAAGAGACAGAAAGCATTAATCACACAGCACTTCAACTCCAAGGCCAGCAGTGCTCGAAATACAGAGAGGATCAAAGTGAGTTGATCTATGTTGCTGGCCTGTGTGTTTTATATATTTATGTCTCTGTGTTTGCTTCTGTTCTCTTGTTTTAGGTTCATCTTTGTAAAAAAAACAAAAAAGTGTTTATATATCCTGTATCTACCTTTGGAAAACAGATATTCAATGGAGTAGAGTGGGGTGGGAGTAAGGTACAATGGGATATCCAATTGGTTGCTAAGGACCTGGTTGCTAAGGACCTGGCCTTTAGCAGCAATCTTTTCTGCCCCTTTCACGCTTGCAGAATTGAGAGCTGGGTAGCCAAGGTAGCTTCCAACAGAGCAGTGGTTCCCAAACTTGGGTCATCCAGGTGTTTTTGGACTGCAGCTCTCAGATGCCTTTACCACTGGCTATGCTTCAAGGAAGGAGCCATAGAAACCAGGATTAACTTTTCTCTTACCCCAAGAGACCGTTGTTTCCCAGTTCCTTCCTAGAGTGTCATTGGTGTGGAATTGTTCTGGTAGGGGGAGAAACCAGGGCTGGGCTGCAACAAGACCTTTGCTGCCACAGCTAGCCTTTGAATTCCGAGCCTTCCAAGCCACAACACAAACCCAGGGAGAAGCATTCTGTTGCCAGGTGAGCTTTTTGACAATCCTCAGTCTGTAGGGCCAGCCTTTTGTATAAGCCCTTTCACTTGTCTGTGCTCTTGTGCCAGCTTTTTACAGCTGAGCGATAAATGATGAGAAAAACACAGGAAAAGGTGGGCGTAACGGTGCTTTGTCATTTGGGCTTTTTGCTGTAGGCTTTTTGACCTACCTTGTGTGGATCAATTGGGTGACATTTCAGGCATGAGTCTGCCTACATCCCTTTAGTACATCCTTCAAGTCAGGATCCAGCTTTGCGGGATTTAAATCAGCTCAAGAGGCGGTGGCAGGTCTTAACATGCCCACCTGACTGAGGAGAAGAGCCTTTTCTCTGGATGCTTTCATAGCAGTGTTATGAACTACTTTCAGGAGATTGAGTCAGAACTGAAGCAAATGGAAGAGCTGAAGCAGCAATATCAGAAGAAAAACTATGAGCAGGTAGAATCCCTTTCCATATTTAATGTTAAGACTAGATTGAAATATATGTTGGCGGCTATTGGATCTGATTCTTCTCATACCTAGTCCCTTAGTATCAAAGAATTTATGACTGAATTAACGGACCTGCAACGTGAGATGCAGCAGCTGGCCAAAAACCAGCAAGCCATGGCAGCTGAGAACAGAAACCTGCAGAGCCAGCTGGAACATGAGCAGAAACGTCGGCAGCAGCTGGAGGAAGAGTGCCAGGTAATGGAAACTTAGATTCCTGGAGGGAAGGTTTATGCGGGTTTGCCTTTCAAAGACATTCAGGAACTTCATGGGGTTACTTATGGGGAACCCACCCACAGCGCTGTTTTGACAGCTCCATGACCTGCCAGTCTCTTTCCAGGCACAATTCAAAATGCACGTTAAAGCAAAGTGGGCTGTTTTAAATACCACCCCATAGCGCCTAAAGCACTCTCTGGTAGTTTTACCATTTTAATTATGCAAGCTACGCATTGCCCCCTCTCCCCCACAAGCTGAGTACCCAAGTGACCAACCTCAGAAGGATGTTAGGTTGAATCGCTCACAGGCCGGCTACCTGAAACTGGGATTGAACTCAGGTTGTGAGCAGAGGCTTGACTTGCAGTACTGCAGTTTAACCACTATGCCATGGGGCTCAGTTACAATGTCAGCAGTTTTACTAATGCCCATAGACTAGTCAAACAATATATTATGTACATTAGTAGTGAAAGCATTTTCCATAATCCACAGCAATGTTAATTTTTTAAACGTTTATTATGTGTTGTAAGAATACATTAT